GCACAAATTAAAATATAGTATTAATTTATTATTTCATGTACATCATAATATATATGTAGCTAGGTATATTTATTTATTATATGTAGTACCTACATACAACACATACACACATCCCAAGTATGTATCCACGTATAATATATTAAATCGGAATAATATTTATATATATATTATTATTATTATGCGCATTGTATGTAGAACTTTAAATGAGATATCACGGTGAACCGTAAACAGGATTTACTGGAATACGCGGTTTATATAGGTACCGATTATTATATATTATTATGTACCTCGTGAGTATGGGAACAAAAAACGAGTTTCAAATTCTACTAATATAATAATGAAATTAAAAATGAAAAAAAAAACTATAGGGTAATATCTTCCCATGTATGCTATTAAAATTTCGTAATTAAATATTTTATTAATTATCCGTGTGTGATATAGTTCGAATGTTATTAGTTTTTAATTTTTAATTATTATATCAATCTGAATTTTTCGGAACACTTATAATTACATAGTAATTCTATACACGCGTTTAATGTGAAAATTCCAGTTTATATATAAAGCGACTACATAATATAATATTATAGGTACCTACGCTGTAATAATATATACCGACTAGGAAAACGATATAGCTCATAATCATAATAATATTAAACGGACGCAGTTGAAGTGTTGTTAATTTTTGTTATTTTTTTACTCTTACATAATCTCGAGTCTTTGATATTAAATACATATAATATGTACATACATGTGACTTACATAATATATATAATATAGGTAGTTGGATGTGATAGTATATGCGTAATACGAAACATTTTTTGAAATTAAAATAGGTATATATATATATTATATATTATACAAGGTGCGAGCACCGAGGCGCCGTATTTTCCAACAAAGCTAACACTGCGAGAAAATGAAAAAAACACGATGCATATAATATTTATATTATGGCTGTGCACATATATATATATGTAAGTCATGCGCGTCTTGAGTTACTGACGTTAATCGTTATTTATTGAATTTGATGATGAAAACACTTTTGATTGTTGATGTAAACTGTCGTTGAACACGAATCCGTGAAGTTTTAATCGTGATTTTAATTATAATAAAATGAAATCCGCGATATAAAAATCGTCCGGCCCCGCGGGAAACAATAATAATATTGTGTTGTACAATGTCGTTAAACAAAATATAAAATGTTTTCTTTCAATACATAAAAACGTTACACTTGGTAATATTTATATTATATTATGTTTCATCGAGGTGCGCATGTTATAATAATATATCATACAGTAATAATAATATATACCTATACAATATAGCTGTGCACAACGGCGGCGAAAACGGTCCGCGAAATCCAAGTCGATCTATAAATTCGACGACGTCAATAAATCATCAATATGATATTATATTACAGTTACACACACACACACACGCTCAAGCTTGCGTACAATGATATCACGTCTATGATTTAATATGCACTTTCCTAATCGCAACAACCGCGAGTCATTTCCGTAAATCATGACTTTCACCGACGGGGTGCCCCATATTATACACAAATAAAAATAATCATCCTCCCACAATTGGCAATTCTACTGTATTAAAAACATATACATATATATTATACGGCGTGCACGCCGTTAAAAAAATAATATATACCGACTACTGTATGTTTAACTATACAGGTACGTTCACATGGTTTTTTTAAAAACTTTTTCATTCGAGTTGTGTTTACTGTAATACGGATCGAAGTAAAGTATAATGCACGACGCACGTCGTTCACGCATAAATAATATATTGTATTTCTATATATTCTTTTTGTATATTATACACATAGGAGTATCGCTCGTGGAGGATATAGGGTACCTATATACCTATAATAGAATTATCCCGCGGTGTATATACATATTATTCTATATGTTTAGAAACAAAAAAAGTAATATATATATTTTTTTTAAAAACGTCGGAGAAAAATTTCCGTCTTAAACGTACCGCGGATCGACGGATGATGATGAATCTAATCGTATCATATTGCACGTTTTTGTGTTTCGAAATTTTAAACGCTGTAGTGTTATTATAATATTTTACATTCGTCATGCTCTGTTCGAAATCGAAATCTTCCATAACGCCATTTATATAGGGCATGCGGTATCTGATTGTTATGACTTGTGTATAAATTCGAGTTATTCGTCTAAAATACTTTTCTATAATATATAATAAACAAGGCGGAGTTTTTACCTATACATATAGCTCACAGATCGTGAAGGGAAGACAACAACCGCAAAAACAGACATATTAATAAATTATTATGCTTTAACGGCGACCGCGGTGCTGTTTTTAAATTTGATCGTAAATCGACGAAAAGATAAATCATATTGCGTTTTGAACGACTCTCTGTTTGTAAAAATCGTCGAGTAATTCAATAGTTGTTATAATATATATAATATAATTTAATATAATACGGTAGCTTGCATGAAAAATAAATGAAAAAAGTTAAATTTTCAAAATTAATCATGAGCAAAAAGTGCATGCACCTTCTGAGAAATCGTCATACCAAGCTTCTTTTACCTCATTTTAACGCTTAACGGTGCAATCGTAAATTCCATGATAGAGTATACAGTATACAATGGGTCTGCGCTATCCACCACTAAATATTTAAGCTGGATGACTTAATTGATATGAGGTTTTCGGGAAATAAAAGGTAGTATATCAAAATTTGCATTCAAATTTTAACCCTTTTATAGTAATCACGCGCATGCATAATACAACTTACTTTTGTTAAATATCAATGTCAATTTGTTTACAGATTCAAATGGACAATTTTTGTATAATGATCTTTTTCTAATTACAAAATTGACACATCTACGAATAATATTATAATCAGTTATTAAATTGTAGGCACAATCCCAAAATCGTTAATGCTTCATAATAGCGCAGGTTAAGCTGTTTATACCTTATAGGGCTCCAACTTTTAAAAAGTTATTCGCGTTTCGTTCAAAGAATGCTGCCGGGTGACAGCATACACCACTAAGTTCTAGATTCTAGTTCAAACTCCACAGGAAAATTTTTTGTACTTTGTTAGTGTTTTTTAATCTCAACGTTAGTACTCTATCTTCCCTAAAAAGTTGTTATCATTTCATCGTATTGGATGGTGCTGGATACTATAATGGGTGCTAGTACAAATTTCGTATTTGGGGTCCAAAAATGTTTCATTTCTCCTGCTCTACTTATAAAAAATATTAACATTCTATTAGAGTTTTGTAGGGGGGGGAGGTTAAACTACAGTAATCTACATAGGTATTTTATTTTGACAATTTTCCTGGGTATATAAACATTTAAAATATTTAGGTATTCAAATATGCGGGACAAATGTTTTATGTATTTAGCGAGCTTCGAAATATACTTTATAACGGAGAAAACTTCGTGCATTATATAAAGCTATCGCTGAATCTATTTTACCGTGGGGAATCATTGGTTGGAGTTGCACTTTTGAAAATGTTTTAAATACACTGCAAGTTTGTTAAAATTATTTGTTAAACCTATATCATTGGCGTATACATAACTTGTATCTGAGGGAGGTGAGTTCAGTTGAAAAAACCTAACCTGTATACAAAAATAGGATTTCAAAACAAAATTTTAAATTATTTATTTGCTTGGTTATGCAGATTAGAATACAAATTGTAAACAATAATTACTATTGACCGCAAGAGACATGATTTTAAGGGGTTATGTATAGGCAAATTGTTCAATAATTTACGATTCTTAAAATGTTTTGTCAGTATTTATTATCAGTCATATATTTATATTATTTCCCACTGTAAAATGGATAGCATTTGCTAACTTGCTACTCCGTGTTGTACGTATAGGGATGGATGAGGTGTATATTTTGTTTCTAATGATTTTGATCATTGCGTTAAATATAGGTATATACGCATCTATATAGGTACCTACTGCTCTAAAATTTCAATTTCAATTTCAAAATCACTAAAAGTTAACAGTTAAGACATTTCCAAGTATCATAGGTAATATAATAATATGTTCTGAATAACAAGTTAAAAATAATACCGATAAAAAAATAGTAATAAAAAATAGTTTTCCTTATTAATGTTGTTTCGTAACGACTTAAAATCATGTAAACGAAATATTTAATACGTTAGGGTATTGTGAAATAATGAGTAGCTTATGTTAAATGGATCACCTCATATATTATAACGGTCTACACTCAGAATCTGAAACCAAAAAAACGTGCTGGTAAACCTTACCGCGGATTTTGTCACACGCATACTGCGACGGTAAACATTACATATGCTCTGCAATATTTTACTGTTATGTTATATTGTAATCGTTGTTACTAATTGATCGAATAACTTTTATAAATGTATATGACGTACTGAATTTAAGTACACACAAACGTATGTTTCAAAAATCTCCCATCGTTTTTATGGGTTTTAGCTTAATTTATAAATAAAACTTAGGTAATTCAGTGTAGATAATAGAGAGTATTAAAAGATAAAATTTAAAAAAATAAAAGAAAGTCATTCTCAAGTAAACTTCAAGAGAAATCGGAATCTGTTTTGGAAAATGTTATAATTCATAATGTTAAATATTATTATAAAATATGGTACGTTTTGGTACAAATTAATGACCGTTTGAAAAACCATTAAGAAGCATGACTATAATTTAATGTATTGTATATAGAAACATCCCTTTTCCACCGTACCTACTCTTCGATGGTTTCATATAGGCTAATAATTTACCTTCTTGTCTTTACCAGTTACCACTCGTATTTATTAAATTTATATCTCCATGCTGGTCATTAATATTATTATTGCACTTTTATTTCATACTTTAAGTCCATAATTGGAAACGTCTGCAACTAGCTGATATTCGTTTAATATGTTTATGATATATATTATAGGTTTATGTTATTTAAGGCTTATGATTTTTGATCCTCAGGTGGTGGGAGGATTTGCACGTTTTCGCCATGCATTGAACAAGTGATGCGCACGTGTCAGACACTGCTGGATCACGGTTTCGTCCAACTGAAGACTGTCGAGTGTTTGGAAAAAGAATACCAAGTGCTGAACAGGACCGTGACCACGTTCGCCACTGCCAGTAGACCGCCACCGCCCGCTTCGGGACCGCAGGTACATTATATATAATATATAAATATACGATATGTCGATACATCTAATATAATATAATACGCGCTCGCACGTGCGGAGTGCAATAGCAAATGTATCTCTCTCTATCACTATATATATCATATGTATATCATTATCACCATAAAACATATATAAGCTTATAGCTCGCGTATAGTTTTAGGCGTATATACCTACTATATATTATATAATATCTGATAATGATATTATATCGAGATGTATATAATATAACGAAGACGATGGGCAGCAGAAGAGATGACGACGAAACAATATATATAATAATATATAATATACCTACACGGATAGGAAAACAAAATAGGCACACATACACACACATACACACACATACACACATACGCAAAGCGAGGGCGTACACACACGGGCACACGACGGAACCGGTACCTATATATATGTATAATATATATAATATGTGCCTATATATGCACCGGACCGGTCGCGCGAGTAATTTGTTTTCGACAAATATACACGCGCGCGCACAGCAGAACTGGTCCACGTCAAACGTTATAATTTTTTATCGGGACCACCTCGTTTTTGTTTCTCTCCCGGAGCCTATATGGGGAATTTTTGAGATTCCTATGCGTCCGACGTGACGGCGTCGGCGGCGGCCATCATAATATCACCGCTTCAGCAGCGTTCGGTCCAATACGTATTATAATATCGTATATTTTGTACCGTGCGGCTAATTGTTCCTATAATAATATATACCGTCGCGTATACGACGCCGCATGTGTAATCTATATGCGGATGTGTCCTTGCAGGTTAGTGGTGGTGATATAGTTGGGGATGGGGCGTCTTACCGTGGTATGCCATCACGACATCGATTTTCATGTGGGGGTGAAATTATGGTGTCAGTGGTAGTCCGCGGGGTTGCAAAATTACTATAAGGACCTGTAGTTGGTTGAAAGTAACTGGTATATTATATCAGCTGGATATATACAATTATAATGATTAGTCCGCTTCATACAGATATGGATTGTGACATATATAAATGGTGAAGTCGACTTGCGGAGTACCAATAGCCGTTCAACAAAGGCAACACTATATTGTCAGTTCACCCCATGGGGTTAGGTTATACATGGCGTAAACTCAAATTAGAATCGAAAACTGATACACAGATTTTTTTTAACAACTATGCAATGACTGACGACTGTTTTGTTCTCACGACATTACAGTATAATATACAATCGGATTTTTAATTTATCCCTACGACAACAGTGAGTCGAATTCTTTTCGGAATTCGATTAGTTTCATGCACCATAGCATAAACCACTCGTATATTTCGGTCCTTTCCCTCGTGCCTACCCTCCTAACTGCGCCGGGACGGTCGTGCGCAAAATATTGAGGAAACCGCGAGCTCACTTCCCCGCGGCCACTGTTGTAGCTGCAGTGGACCGAGAACGGCCGCGGTCGCACGAGGCGAAAATAGTGTATGTGTCAGTGCGTTAAAGTCTCTCGGCAATATACGCACATTTTTATATCGCTCCCAGACGGACGGTCGAATTTTTTTTGTTTTGTTTTTACTGGTATCTATATATCGGCGTTAACATCATCACACGGTACTATATTATAATATATATCATATACACGATAATTATATTATTATTATATAGCAGCTACGACCCGGTAACTCTCTCTCGCGCTCGCTATGCCCCGATGTCTGCAGTATAATATACCGTATAAATACGATAAATCGTAACAACGCGCGCGCGATCCTCGTCGCGATCTATTACCGCCCAGTTTTTCGTTTTGACATTATATACCTCGCTTACCTATCTTTCGCTCTCGCTAGTACATGGACCTGCGGCACTTTGTGTGTGTATATATATATCTGTCTGAGTGTAATCACGTATATATTTGTTAATCGTTGGACGATATCCTAGCTGTATACAGTACAAAACTTATATTTATATATTATTATACACCTATATAATATAATATACACAGCGAACAAACCACGTATAGGTACAATAGTCCGTATTGAGATTTTTTCTTATCGATAATTTTATTCGAGTAGGTATATACTATAATATATAGCCTTATAGATAGGTACTACAGTAAAGAGTAGAACATTTAAGCACTATTTAAACCAATGATTAGGACAACAACTTTTTTTTTTAATTTTTCGTTTCATTATATAGGTACATATATAATTATTATATAGATTATAGGTAATATACTAATATATTTTAATATTAAATTATTAGACACCATGTATGTATACTGTATAGCTTTGTACCTTTAATTTAGGAGTATTCACTCGCATATAGTCGAATGACTTTTCAGCAATCGCAGACAACGCGTTTGACATTTTACTTTTATTTAAACTTGTATATTATAATTTAAGTATATTAAACATACATACGTGCCTACATTTATATATAATTTGAGTTTATGCATTTCGTAAAGCTTTACTCGGAAACATAACTGTAAATATGTATAGAGAAGACAGTGTTTTTTTTTTTATGAAAAGATTAATGCACTACCAAAAAAATATTTCAATAGGTCATCATACTATAGAGTAATGCACTCAGCTTGTATATTTGAATTATTTCCTAAATCCGATCGAGTAATATAGTTTTTAACGTGTCATCAGTACCACTTTACGAAGATACAAAGTATTCGTTCGATAACAATATAATATATTATATAAGCAACAAGTTTGTGACGTACTTTTGTAATCACCAAATACGCATTTACCGTTATTGTACATTAAAAACCGTCATCAATTGACGACGGTCCGAGCGGATGGCATTATACAATCAGTAAGTATAATATGTTGAACGGTACAACAAAATACTAAGTAGTCATTTTAAATAATATCCTTACATTGTTTTTGGTAAACCGTAAACGTGTATTCTACGCGAACTGTCCAAATAATCAATTTATGTTTCGTTTTTTTTTTCATATATATTTTTTTAATGATTCAATCATCATGAAGACAAAAGAAAGAATAGTCAGTGGTGCAGGGGGCCTGTATGAACGCGTGTACAGTAATACAATGACGTTTATTTCGTATTTTAATCATTCTTTCATTATAAAAACTACTACAAGTTACAACGAGTATATGTAATATGTATGTACCTATAGTGTTTATACGCATGATCATTGCGTCGTCATTTAAACATTGTAATTTATAATCTTAAAAGCTAGAAACAAAAATCTATTAAATTATTTCGACCGATTTCTATTGTTTACAAATGTCAGTGAACTATTGTTTTGTGCGTACATTATTGTGTATAAAATTACAGTTTTTATATCCGCTCAGCGTTAGACCTGTGTATACTGTATATTATTATGTACATATAGGACATATTATAACAATAACGATTCAAAGTAATTTCATTATTTCCGATTTCCCGGCAACGATGGTTATTTTATTTTTAAATTTAGATTCGCCGTTAAGAGTCACCTACATGAATTATAGAGTGGATTTCCAACCCTAATTCAGTTTTTTATTTAAAACCAGAAATAAAAAACAGAAATTGCGATCGTGTCTTGCGAAATGCGCGAGCATAAAATATATTACTTTGCTGTTTTTTCATTACCTAATTCTAATGATAATGTCAAATGTGTTTAAGGATGTAGTTGTGCGTGAAAATTTTTCAAGTAATATATATTTAATGATTTTAGTTGTATCTCACATTCTCACATACGATAGTATATCATATAATAAATTAGTATAATATACCTAAACATGCAATAATTATTACGAATTATAATCACGTCCTACTGCAATTGCACTGCTAGGAATTAACTTTAAATTTGGGATTTATGTGAATAGGTATATACCTAATATATACTTAAATAATAGAGATGTATAATATACCTAGCTAATATTATTATATAATAATGTACAAGCGTATAAGCGCCCGCTTATAATAGTTTAGCAATAAATGAGTATAATTACGATATGGTAATATTCTTAAACGTGATGCGATGAGATTATTCTGAATATAATATATTATGCACTATAGAGTACTATATGCTATTCGTTTCAAGGTTTTCCCATCCGATTCTATTGAAAATTGCATACCTTTTTTAGCTACTTATTTTGACTTTCCACGCTATTTCGTATATCTCAAGGACATAATATATACGTACTTGCCATATAGATTTTTGTCAGATATAATACGTGTTTATAAAGCGCGCTCTTGAATTTTTTACGGAGTCGAGTTTATGATAATAAGTGTACAGTGTTGCGTCCTTGATGAACTCAAATAAATTACAATTACGCGCGTTCAGTTGCAGTGTCTTTTTTTATATACGAGTTTACGTCGAAAAGCCAATAGGTAATCAGTATGGGTATATAATAATAATATAATGTACGGTAACACTAAACGTTGCTGTTTAAAATAAAAAAAAAACAACCATACAATTGTTTCTGTCGTAGGTGGAGGTAGATACTTAGAACAATAATTGTATTTTTAGTTAACATGTACCTATAATGTATACATATATTTTTCCCAAGTGTATACCTATACATAGTAATATAGTATACGTCATATAGTACGGACCTACTTTAAAATTCTCACGACTAATACGCGTTTTCCAACTGTCAACATAAATAAAAGTTGTTGACAAGTAGGTACCTACATATAAAAGTTCCGTTGTACTATACATGCACATAGTGACCACTAAAATGTTCACGTTTTCTCAGCGCTAAAGCCACTGCATGTGGGTAGTATATAGATATATAGTGTCCCGAAAAAAGGGCCTTCGGGTTGGTTCAGCGATACTAGTATTATATAGCCATATAAGTACAGGCTATATTATTATTATTATTGGTTTCATGTCGATTACGTCAGGCATATAATATTTTATCCGATCGATGTAGACGTATAATATATTTGCCACAGTTCTCGCGCCACCAAATAGTATAATATAATATTTGTAGAAGTGTACCGCATATGTGTGTAGATCACGTTATGGTTAAAACCCGAATTTTTTTTTCCACAGAACACAACCGAAGAACCCGGTAACGAAAAGAAATTTTTGGCTTGCATCCCGTCCGCTTCCCCTCGCGGTCACACGGGTTACCTGACCACGGCCACGTTTCTCATGGAAACCCGACTGCAGCCGGAGGAGGTGGAGATCGAGGACGCGTGCGAAAAATGAAAACTTCGACTGCAGCGCATCGTAGGATTTTGCTGGGGTAGAGACGTCTCCGGTTTATCGTTATATATTGTACTATATGTATTATTATTGTCTGTATTATTATTTTTTACGCACAATTATTGTACATCGATACGCGTATATACGTATTACATGCGTGTGTATTGCGCCCGCGACCGTTCCATTGTACTGGCGCTATATATATATTATATTATTTATTTTATATAATATATATATATAGGTATATAAACGCTTATGTGTGTGTTTATAAGACCTTATTTCTTTTTCTGTCTCTCCATCCCCCCTTCACTCGCTCTCTCTCTCACTCCCTTTAGAAAAAACGGTAGCGTTGACAATAGAGGTCTGCCTGTTATTTATGGGTCAACGTTTATGTATATATATATTTACAAACACACACACACACACACACACACACACACACCCATCCTTGCATAAGAAGAAGCGCATTAGCCAATAACACTGCGCTGCGCACCGGTGCTGGTGTGCCCGGTGCCGGTGCACCAGACTAGATAAAACTTATATTATATGCGCTTATATTCTCCGGCACGGAGGTCTCATAATACACGGAATAGGTCATCTGTACACCGAGATCTCTGCAGGGTTAAGAATACAAGAACAATGAAGTGAACGTTTCCCTTTGTTTCGTTTACGTTATTTTATTCCCGTTTTTGCTGCAATTCCGATATAATATACGCATATTAAATATATATAATATGTATAACCTAGGCATGTGTTATGCGCATACCGCGCGCGCTTTGGTTTTAATGAACCCATTTTTTCTTTTCGCTATTGGTTCGTATAAAGGTGTAGGTGGTATAGGTACGGAATTATTATGGCGTGCCTATTGTAGAGGTAGTACAGCTACATAAAAATTTAGTCGTCGACGGTTTTTCGCGTACCTTTATGGAGCGCGTGCGATGACGAGAGTGACAGGGTGATAATATATATCGACCGATTTGTATTTCGCGCTGGCCCGTGCTCGAATATAATATAATTTATTGTTGGGCGCGTGCACAATATAATATTGATAATAATAACAGCTATAGGCGGACCGCTGTCATAAACAATAATAATAATAAAACCTCTCGCGTACCTATACCTATGTTATTATACTGCACAAGGTATGTACGACGACATGCGCGGTATGCCGTGTGTAAAGGACACCATGGGTCAATATTAATACCCGTCGTCGTCGTCGTCGTCGTCGTATATAGAAAAATACCAGATAAAAAAATAAAAATAAAAAGTAGATGAGTGGAGGAGAAAAAAAGATAAAGATCCCGGGTATGTATATATACTTATGTGTGCGCTTCAAATTCAGGGTCACGGAGTTCAACGAAACGACGACATGTGAGGTATGTTTATATTTTTATAAGCCCCGCGCCCGTAGTCGCATATAAGAGCTTCTCTATTTTTTAATAATAATAATATAATCACAATATCGTATTATTATACTGCAGTGACGAAAGTTGGCAAAGTCGCGGTAGGTAAGAGAACATTATTATCTGCAGTTGTTGCGTTTTTACATCGCCCTTCAGGATGCAGCTGGCCCGATGCCGGGTTTTTCTATTCTAGAAATGGCAAAATATATTGTACGCGGATCGCAGAAATTGTTTCACACTTTCACTCTTTCACAGGAGGACATGCGATACAATACGAGACAACGAATTGAAAATGTACGGACGTCGTCGTCGTGGTATTACGATGACAAGTACTTATGCCTAGTAAACAATGCGTGTCTTACGAGGTGTAGCGCAATCGCCGAGCAGCAGATAAACACGCAACTCCACCCCTCCGTCCTTCAGACGTCAGCCCCGCCCACTCTTTCACAAGTTTCGATAGAAAACCCGTAAACGCGCGTAATAATTAAATCGATATTACTATATATATCACCACCATCGTAGTCGTTATAAAGATAATTAATAAAAGTCTTATACAAAGAGGAGAAATGCAAAAAGGCCTTACAGTTACACCTATACATATTTTATAATATACCTAATAATATTATATTATAATAGATTAGATGTAGCCAATACCTAGGCATAAACCCTCGCGATTTTCGTAGCTGGCCGCCAATATTCAGGGCGCCTAATATACCTACCTTGGAATATTATCATCTACAGGTAATATGAATAAGCAACCGTCGTCGCCAGTTTTTTAAACCCAATATTTGAACGATCCGCTCATCAGTCGTGGGGGTATACGCTGACTGCTCGGCGCTCGGTACCTATATCTCCGTATAGCATTTCACAACGACGACGTGTGGTAACCATTATTTATTTTATTTATACACGTTTTTTTTTTTTTTTATACCCTATACGCCGCACAGCAGCAACTTTGCAGATATCTGAGGTCAGTAATCTAGTTTCTATATTATATACTCGGCTATACGGCCGGGGAAGCCACAGTGGCGCGCGGAATCGGCCACCAACGGCGAGCGGCTATAAGGAACGCTCGCGTTCATATATATAAATATATATATATTATGCTGATACATGTGTGTGTGTGTGTGCTTAAGAGGTCAGTGTCACCTGCTGGTGCTGCTGCCGTGTACGACCGGCGCGAGAGAGTCGTGTGGGAGATGGAAATTAGAATATCAGATTTGAAATGAGAACAAAACAAACTCCGTATCGACTGTTTAAAGGCGTATAATATTATTGTGTGCTGCACAGCGCTTACCTATATACGTGTACAATACACGTGTATCTGAGTATAAATGTGCGTGTGTGTTTGTAGAATATATGTATTACTGCAGCAAGGAACGACAGTGGCGACCGCGTGCCAATATATAGGTATTAGCGAATACTCGTGTATTGTGTGTGTGTGTAGAAAACGAAAACAAATGTATTTCGCGTGCGTGTTTTTCCCTTCAAAGGTAATTTCTCAAGGACGTGCTTATTTATATCATAGTGTTTTTTACTGTCGACAACAGCAATAATATTAAACATCACATTATTTCACGTGCACACCTATATATATTTATATATGCCTGTATATAATACCATGATGAATAGTAGGCATACCGGGGAGAACACGTGAGACATTTGAGTCAATGCGTATAGGTATAGTATGTAATATATTATTATTAATGCCGTTCGTGGTTCGTATAATATGATACGCGTTTATATCGTTTACGAATATCAAATTAAAAATAAACCAGTCGATAGCGATCGTCTGTAATATATTCTCACCTACCGTTAAACCCGTAATTATTACAAAATTCAAAATTCATTAATCATACATCACGTGATTTCATATCACGTGCTCACGCCAATAATACACCGTCTAGGATTTATAATAATATAAAAATAATAATCGACGTTTATAATATAATAATATTTTATACTATACGAGTTTCGTTATAACCATTTGCCGTGTGTGCATAGTATTATGGACTGTAGTTTATTATAGTGTGAAAACCTAGGTATATATTGTATATTATCATGATATTATGTAGATAACCGTCGAATACACATCTCACAAACCTCTATTATAATATACTGCCGTGGTATGCCCAGTGGGAGGGTCTATTTTGAGAGTGAACAGATATTACAAAGTTGAAAACATGTAGGAAAACATTATGTTCGTTTACTCATTTAGTGTTTATTATTTTCTAGACGGTACGAGTTTGATGCCTAGTCACGTATCATCGGGATGTAAATTATTATATCGATATTATAATTCATGTTTTTACTTTTTACCATCGCCAAACATAACCGCGATTGAACAGGAGACATTTCGGCGCCAAACGCTTAGTATTTCACGCTTTTTGCCCCACCGCTCCCAACTTCCGTGTTGAGCTACAATATACATACAATTAATTTATTTATATTATGCAGGTATATCGTATAATAATATAATATACCACTGCAACAGATCTTATATTATTAAATACTAGCTGATCACGTGCACTCCTTTGCCCATTAAAAATTATAACTCTATACGAAGAAGATATTAATATTATAATAAAAGCTATTTAAAACTCACGGCCACTATTTATAATCAAAAATGTCCATCGGGAATCTCAAAATCCCTGTTTGAGCACCACCCGGGGTTGGCCCTCTTCCTTTTTTTACTTAGCCCATCTTCTTCCCAGATAGCTCTGTACCAAATTTCATCAATCATCAACGTCGGTCCAGTCGCTTAGGAATGCATAAAGGACACACAGACAAACGTTCATTTTTATATATATATAAACGTATACGATCGGTGTGAAGATAGGTACACTGCAGTGTACGCGTATCACACTGTTTTATGTTAAGACAATCAGTTGCAGTAAATAACGGTCGTAGAGGCGTACCGAGGAATCTTCGTTTTCAAGGAGCTTGTGAATAATCTATGATACATTATTATGGGTGACTGATTTGCGTCTTCTTCCTTGATGCGCGCCTCCCGGCATGCTCTATCCTCGGAAAACGGGAGACGAGTTTCTCGATCCTATACGGACCGGAATGCCGTCGAGCACTGCACACCACTAAAATCACAGTATAATATTATTATGAGCAAAAAGAAGTATGCTCGATGATAAGAGTGCGCATATTTTTTTAAGGGTCAATATAACAATATATATATGTTTATGAATTTGTAATTTACAGCTGATGATAATAACGTACTAATGCGACTAATAATAAACTTAAGTTTACGTCACGTGCACGTATATTATACTTAATCTTATACAGTTATACGATGCAGGTTAGTCGATGCACATGCGCGAACTAGGATCGTGTTGAGCATACTTCTTATACTTCGTGTTATTATGCATGTATTATAAATACCTATTATGCACTTGCAGACGGTGTTTGGTGACTCTAAAACGGATTGATCGAGGACCGCAGGCAGTGAGCATATTTCCAAAACTGACCGACGGAAAATATCGGTATTTCCCGGTCGAAAATTTCACGGTATACGTTTCTCGGAAGAGTTTACTTCGCGCGCTGGAGGACTTTCTTGCAGTAGGATTTCCAAAGAGTTTCACCGATACC